GTGGTGTTGGAGGAGAATACTGAAAGTGCCATGGACTGCCAAAAGAACCAATAGATCTGTTTTGGAAGAAGTGCAGCCAGAGTGCTTCTTGGAGGCCAGGATGGCTAAGCTTCGTCTCCTACTTTGGACACATTGTCCAGAGAGAACAGTCGCTGGAGAAGGATGTCATGCTGGGTAAGGTGGAGGGTCAGAGAAATAGAGGAAGACTCCCAACGAGATGGATCAGCCAGGTGGCATCATTGATGGACTCAAGTGTGGCAGCGGTAGTGAGGTTGGCCCAGGATCAGATGTTTCGTTCGCTGTGCGTGGGGTCGCTATGAGTCGGTTCTGACTCGATGGCACCTGACAACAACATTGCCAAGAATAATGCTTTTCTCCAGTGACTAGTCCCTTTTGTTAAATATATGCACCAAAGTGAGTTTCTCTGCATCCAAAGTAAAACGATTTGACAGCTTTCATTAGTGAATTCTGTTACATATTTCATTTGTGTTTGAAAGTTTATAAACTTTTAAAATAAAGGTTTGCATCAAACAGTTAATGGACCCTCTGAAGTCTCAGGATTTTCTGAAGCAAACAAGGCCATTGGTTCAGTTTAAAAACTGGCTGGGAAGCAGAGCATGGCCCCAGCTTTAATACAGTCTACACTTGTTTTGAAGTTGTCAAGAATTTAATTTTACTTGGATCCATAGAGCAGAGCTCAAGAAATAAAACATTACATTGGGAAGGTCTGCTACAAAAAACTTAGAAAGTGTTCAAAAGTAGGTCATATTGAGGACTAAAGTGCACTTGACCCAAGTCAGTCATCACCTCATAAGCATATGAGAACAATGAATAAAGACAGAATTGATACCTTTGAATTGCTGGTATCCATTGGTGTTGGTGAAGAATATTGACTATACCACGGTCTAACAGAAGAGTGAACAAAGCTGTCTTGGAAGTAATATAGGCAGAAGGCTTCTTAGAAATAAGGATCTCTTGCACTTTGGACATGTTAGGAAATAACGTCTCTGGACATTATTAGTAAAGTATGGTCAGTGAAAAAGAGGAAGAACCTCAATGAGATGAATTGATACAGTGGCTGCAACAATGGGCTAAAACACACTTGTCTGACACAGGACCAAGCAGTGTTCATTTCTGTTGTATGTAGGGTCACTATGAGTTGGAGCCGTCCGAACAGCACATAACGGTGGAAAAAAGGGATGAAAGCAAATGATCCTTGATTAAGTATTTAAGGGCCAGAAAGTAAGTACAAAAGTTATAGCAGGCATGTTGTATGCTATCTAACTCACAACAACCTTATTGGAACAAGCCATAGTAACCTTATTGGACATAGTAGAACTGCCGTCGGGCTTCCTGTGTGGTAATCTATACAGGAGCAGATCGCTAGGTCTTGTTCCATGCCCAGCCGTTGGTGAATTGGGACCACTGACCTTTTGGTTAGCAATTGAGTAATTTAACCATTGCACAGGGCTCCTAGGTTGTTAGTGCCATTGAGTTGATTTTGACTCAGAGCAATCCTATATAGGGTTTCTAAAGAGCAGTTGGTGCGTTTGAACCATTGATCTTGTGGGTAGCAGCCCGTTGCTTATCTTACAGGGCCACACCAGTATTCCCAGGCTTTTATGTTAAGATTGTTAAATTCTACCAAGTCAGTTCTGACTCAGCGGCCCTGTATAGCAGGCATAAAGAAAAGAAGAAGAAAACCACGGCCAAATGAGTTGATTCCAAAATCCTACACAGAGCTATAACGAGCAGTCTCATCTTTATCCTGTGACTTGTGGGTTTGAGGAAGTTTGGGAAGGGTTTGCCTCAAACTGTCTTCGAGTCAATTCCAATTCATAACCCTACAGGATACAGTAGACCTCATAGTGTTTCCAATTGGCTGAGGAACACTTTAACCATTGTGACATCAGGGCTGCTGGAAGGAACACCAGGAGGTGTAACTTAGGATGGAATTTGGAAGGCAGGATAATGTTCACTGGCAAATCGGGGTTGGGCATGGAAGGAAGCTTATGAAAGAGATGCCCAGCCTTTCAACCAGGTGAGAGGAGAGGCTGGACAAGGAGCTGAAGTTATTTTGGGAAGGGGAACCATTGGGTTGCTGGTTAATGTGTGTTTGCATTAATTCCTAAGAACAGACACCAACCCCCAAAATCCACTGCCAGTCAATTCCAGCTCAGAGCAACACTATAGGACATAAAACTTCTTTGGGTTTCCAAGACTATGTATTTTTATAGGAGCAAACAGACTCATCTTTCTCAAATGGAGCGGCTGGTGTGTTTGAACAGCTAACCTTGCAATTAGTGGCCCAATGCTTAACCCATGGCACCACCAGGACTCCTTAAGAACAAGAATGTTACTGTTGTTAGGTGCCGTTTAGTCGGTTCCGACTCATAGCGATCCCGTATAGGGTTTCCAAGGCTAAACAAAAAGCCTCATCTTTCTCCCACGGAGCAAGTGGTGGGTTTGAACTGCCTACCATACGGTTAACAACAGACCAGTGCTTATCCTTGAGCACCCTTAGGGCTCCTAAGAACAGGCTAAAGGTTAGCAACGAAGAGAATAATATTAGATCCTGAGTTTGGGCGCTTGAATCCAAAACTAATAGAAATCAGTCCTACGACTGCTCGGGCTGATGTAGCGTGAGCTCAGCGCTGTCCATGGTAACTAGCTTTTGTGTGGTTTCAAGCTTACATCCATTTTCTCCTTTCATCATTTTCTCAAAACCACTCAAATAGGCATTAGCCCTATTTGAGAGCTGAGAAGAACGTACACTGCAATGATCACGACCAGGAAGGCCTAGGGTGCTCAGTCTGCCCTCCGGCCCCCACGCATTACGTGGACTAGCAAGGCCCATCCCCCGGTTCGCTGCCTACAGACCTTCTGGACCCCGGCCGGGGCCTGGAGCCAAAGCTCCGCCCCCGGGGGACCCGGTGAACCGCCATTCCCAGTATGTCCAATGAAAGTTAGGCATGGGCGGGACCTGACACCGCTGAGAACCAATCAGGTCTGGACTGGGCGTGGCTGTAGCGGTGGGCGCCGAGGGGTCGCACCGCGGGCTCTGCAGCCGGGAGAGAACCCCGCGCGGGCGGCGAGCGCAGCGCCGGGTGAGCGCGAGCCCGCCGCCCGCGCAGTCCTAGTCTGTTCCGCGATTCCCTGTACATCTGCCGCCGCCGGGCAAGGGCTTGGGAGCAGGGACGGGAGCTGGCGGGACGAATGCCTGAGGTGGGTGCGGAGCGGGAAGCCGGGCGGGGGGCGGGGGGCGTCTGGGTCGGCCCCGCGATGGGAGAGCCAGGTCCCTACGCGGCCCGGACTCCTGGCCTGTCCGCATCCCGCGCCTGGACTCCTCCCCGGCCACTTCCCCCACCGCAGGGACGCCCTCCCTGTGCTGCCCGCCGCCTCCCGGCCCGAAGCCCTTTGTCGCTTGTGCGCCTGCCCTTGCAGCCCACTTTCCCTCCAGATAGGACCTCACCCGGCCCTACCCCCAGGACCCAGCCCCAAATTCCACTCACTCCTTCATTTCCTACCCGTCCTTCCCCCTTTTGTCGTCTATGATGTTGTCACCTCAACTCTTCACACGCACTTGCACCCCATCTCCATCCAAATCCTGCCCGGTGATCGCTGCCCCGCCCCCGGCGCCCCGCCCCCAGCCCTGGTAGTCCCCCTACACCTGCCCCATTCAGCCCACTCAGCCCGGCCTCAGGTCCGCCCCAGCCAAGCTCCTTTGTTGTCTCTGCAGCTGTGCTCTCTCGTCCCTCTTCATCTTTCCCACCCCCTCCCCGAATTATGCCAAACTCCAACCCAGGCCCCCTTCCTCTGACCAGATCCCCCTCAGCTCTGCTCTGTCATCGCATGGGGTCAGTGCCCAGCTCACCAGCCCACTCCTCATTGGCTCAACCTCTTCACATTCTGCCCACCCTAGGAGCTCCTTCTCGTGGTTATCCCCATCCCCATCCCCACCTCTCCCCTCTGGGCCCTCTGATGCTCTTCTCCACCACAGGGCCTTGGAGTAGCCATGGAGCTGAGCAGCAAGAAGAAGCTGCACGCCCTGTCCCTGGCCGAGAAGATCCAGGTGCTGGAACTCCTGGACGAGTCTAAAATGTCCCAATCGGAAGTGGCCCGACGCTTCCAGGTGTCGCAGCCCCAGATCTCACGAATCTGCAAGAATAAGGACAAGCTTCTGGCCGACTGGTGCAGTGGCACTGCCAACCGCGAGCGCAAGCGCAAACGGGAGTCCAAGTACAGCGGCATCGACGAGGCTCTTCTGTGCTGGTACCACATCGCCCGGGCCAAGGCTTGGGACGTCACGGGGCCTATGCTGCTCCACAAAGCCAAGGAGCTGGCTGACCTCATGGGCCAGGACTTCGTGCCTAGCATTGGCTGGCTGGTCCGCTGGAAACGGCGGAACAACGTTGGCTTCGGGGCGCGACACGTTCTCTCACCTGCGTTTTCCCAGGAGCCGTCCCCTCCAGGACTCCTGCCCCAGTCCCCGCCACCTCTTTCCCTGAAAGACTTCTCCCCAGAGGACGTTTTTGGCTGTGCTGAGGTGCCCTTGCTCTATAGGGCAGTGCCCGGCAGAGGGGGTGCCAGCGATCAAGTTCGGGTGCTGCTGTGTGCCAACAGCAGAGGCACAGAGAAGCGGCGGTTATTGGTTGGAGGGCGCCAGGCTGCCCCGAGATGCTTCCTTGGGATCAGCAGCGAGGCCCTGCCTGCTTCCTACCACCCAGAGCTGGGTATCCCCTGGGCGGAGTGGTTGGCACAGTTTGACCAGGACGTGGGACGGCAGGGCCGCCAGGTAGCCCTGCTACTGGCTGCACAGGTGGTGGAAGAGTGGGCAGGCTTGCCCGGACTCTGCCACGTGCGGCTCTTACCCCTGGCGGCCACCAGCACCCCACCTTCCCTTCCCAGCTCCGTGGTGCGAGCCTTTAAGGCACATTACCGACGTCGGCTGTTGGGCAAACTGACTGCGGTTCAAAGCCAGAGGGATGGCACCTCCCTGGCTGAGGCTGGGGTGGACATCACTGTATTGGATGCTTTGCATCTGGCGGCAGCCGCCTGGGCCAAAGTGCCCCCTCAGCTCATTCTCAGGAGCTTCATCCAGGAAGGGCTGGCTCCGGGCAAAAGGTCCCCATCTCCAGACGGAGCTTCAGCAGTGCCGCCAGCCCCCAGTGGGCTGAGCCTGGAGGAGTTTTCCCAATACGTGGACCTGGAAGGCGAGGAATCCAGCCCTGGGGTATGCAAAAAGGAGACGGACTCTGAGGATGCCGAGGGGCACGCAGAGGATTCTCTGCCCACCAAGGCCGATGCCCTCAGAGCCCTGGGCACTCTGAGGAGGTGGCTTGAGTGCAACGGTGCCTCCTCAGGGCTCTTTGAGAAATTCTATGAGTGTGAGGAGGAGGTAGAACGGCTGTGTTGCCTGTGAAGGCTTCTTGCTGCTCACCAGTATCCCGCCTCTTCCTGTTTCCCATGGAAACACCCCTGAGGTACAAGGGAGCTAGCTCTCTTTCCTGTGGAAATGCGGCTTTTGTGAGAAGGGTGGAAGGCAAGGAAGTTAGGTTTCCAAGTCAGAGGTTCCGGATGAAAGTTCTGACTCTGAAGAAGGAGGAGTGTGAAAACGGGATGTGAGGGGCAGTGAATCTAGGCTTTGTTCCTAAACCCCACTAGAAAGTTCTAGAGCCTTAGAGTGGAGGGAAACTAGGATTTAGGAAGGTAGAATTACAGACACTTATTCTGTGTTAAAAACAATTCTATTTATGGAAATAAAAGTGTGGGGTTTTTTTTTTTTTGTCATTCGAGAAGAGGCCAGGATGTTTTGTTCATGACAAACTGTTCCACTCCGATTTTTAAAATCCATTGCAAACAATTATTGCCATGCTGCGGGTGACCAGCAGGGGTCCTCCTCTCCCAGAATTCCAGCAGGAAGGGCTCTCTGGGGCAGGAACGCCTCCTTGGCCCCCCAATGAAAGGTAAAGCTTGAAGACAGATCCTGTGTATTGCTGCCCAGGGCTTTCTGTTGTATAGACAATTTCACTCTCAGATTGCAGGTTATGGAGTGTCTGAGGAAGGATGTGTGCACAAATCAGGGCAATAAAAGAAGCCGGTGTTAAGTGCCATTGAGTCGGTCCTGACTCATAGTGACCCTGAACTTGTGGTTCAAACCAATCTTGTGGTCCAGTGTTTTAGCCTTTAGCACCACACAGGATTCATTCATCTTTTTCACATATTTATTCACCTCACACCATCTCTTCAGCAAAGGCTTCCTATGGGATGTGGTTGCCAAGATGGTATTCCTGATGGACAGGGCATGCAGGCATTGCCTGTAGAGTTGGAATAAGTGCTGTGACCCCATCAAGCCTGGGGGCCTTGTGGAGGACAGCTGAACAGAGGAGGTGTGGAGATGAAGGGATAAAGGGGCAGGCAGGCCATGTCCCCAGTACACAGGAGCAGCTGGGAGACCCGTTTAGGGGGAGAAGCCTTTAACCCGCTAAGCTGCATGCAGGGACAGGGCGTTTTTGGGGTTCTTGGACGGTGACTCAGAGAATGGAGAGTGGACCAGACTCCAGGACAGGAGGCAGACCATGTATAGCGACTGAGGAGGGAATGAGGCAAAACTCTACCTGGAAAGGATGCAGGCCCAACATAGAAGGTTCATACTGGCCAGGAGTTTGTCTCCAGGCCCAAATCCTGTGTGATCTTTCAGGCCATAACTTTGCCTGGCAGACCTCGGGCCAGGAGGTGGGGTGGGAGACACGACTGGGCTCCCCCTCAAGATTTAGTGCCAAGCCAGCATGTGGCAGGGAGTTGAGTCAAGAACTCCCACTCCCCTCCTCAGCCTCCACTCACATCTGCATTTCTAGCCTTCTGTTTGCTGGAGCCTTGGCTGAGACCTCCACTTGGACTTTACTACTTCTTGCTGCCCTGCCCAGGAGTCTGTAAAGAGGCAGGGGCTTTTGTTCAGGTGCCCAGGCAGAGCCGCATGTCTTCTGAGCCTCGCCTGGAGCTGTTCTGTAGGGGAAAGCTGGGGGACTGGTGCCTTTTTTTGCCTCTTGCTTGCACCATGGCAGTAAGCCAATAAAGACTTGGTTGTTACTTTTCGTGTGGCTCCTTGTCCTAACTGACAGCTCGACAATAGCCACAACTCGATTTTAAACAGCTCTGAAGTCGCCTGCTGGCCTTAAACCTGCCTACCTAAGATCTTTCAAACCCTTTAGCTTTTCCTCGCGGATTTCTATTCTTCCTACTCTGTAATTATTACATTTCTTCCCCCTGAAATCATCGCAGTTCTGACATACCTCTTGTAAATTGCTGAAGCCCAAATACAACATCTCTGAAGATCAGACCAAAGCAACAGTGGCTGGATTGCTTCTCTTATGTTCTTAGATGTCATGTTCCTGTTCAATTCCAACTCATAGCGGCCCCATAGCAGCCCCACAGGACAACGTAGAGCTGCTTCTCAGGGTTTTTCCAGGGCTGTTCATCTTTACCAGAGGAGACAGCCTCACCTTTCTTCTGTGAAGCTGCTCATGGGTTCAAGCCACCAGCCAGGGGCTTTAGCCTCTGCCACCTGCGCTGTTTATCTTCCTGTTAAATTAGCATAATACAACACAACGGTTTACTGTTGATTGATGCCTTCCTGGAGCTTTAAAAAAACGAGTGATCTTGTTGAGAATAACCACAAAACATACACCAATCCACCCTTTTCTACATGTGCAATTCAGTGACATTGATTACATTTTTCGAGTTGATGGGCAGCAGCCATTCTTGTCCGCTTTTTCTAAGTTGGTCTTCCTCCGTTCAGTTAACATAAGCTCACTGCTCCTCAGGTTTCTACATAATCTTTTGAGTTACTGTTGTTTGTTTGATCCCGCATAGATACATCTTAAAAGAACGTACGGTTCAAGACAGATCATCTGTTAGTTGTCCCTCTTCACGATGTCCCACACAACTCTTAGGCTTTCTTCAGATTTTTTTCTGATTGTTCTAGCATCCTTCTTTCTCTTCAGTCTCAGTAATTGGAGCTCCATTACTTCACATCTACTCCTTTGCCCTTTCAGTGTATTGTCCATTTCTGAGGCCTAAGTATTAATTTTCTAAATTTCTTAATTGCAGGTTTGGTATTGTTTCAAATTTTGCATTTATTTTGTCTTTTTGTTCTTGAGTTTCCTGAATTCTTCTTTTTTTTTTTTTTAATGTTTTATTGTGAATTATGTGATAGTTTACATGGGAGAACATTAGCTTTACATTCATCCTATTGTATATTGTTTCACTGCTATGGTCACAATCCCCTCCATGCATCATCTACCAACCAAAGGATATACCCTGCAAGCCTGACCCCTGGTCGTCAACACACAGCTCCTCTCCCTCTCTGGGTCTAGAGTCCCCAGCCACTCTGTCTCTCCACATCATCTTCTCTGTCTCCATCTCTGGCGTCACTGCTTCTCTGGGTAGGGTTCCACATTCTGCTCTTCTCCCTTGATGGTCCCAGCGATCTCCGCTCTTGGACTGCAAAGTTAACCACTCCCCTCGTTTTGCTACAAAACATCTACCTTTACCCGACAGTCCTGATAACAGTTATTCATTTTGTGCCACATGAGAGTCATCCCCATCTCCTTTCATTCTTCTAATGTTTTTATGGTGTTCTTGCTTTGTATCAATCCCTTGGTGGAACCTAATTATTATTCTTTTGAATTCTTTTTCAGTTCTATTACCTTTTCTTCCAGAGAAATGTCTTCTGGTTCTGCATCTTGATCTTTGATTTGAGCCATTCTCTTTTGTTTCTTTGTGTGAGCTAAAATAGTCTGTTGTCTCCAGAACATTGAGAGGGTGTTGTATTTGTAAAAATAAACAGTGCAGTTGTTGGACCCAGAGGGAAGAAATCTCTGGGGGGCATTACAATTCAAGGAGCTCACGAGGTGGTTGTGGAAGGGATGTGACAGCAGAGTTCCTGGCTCTAGATGGAGTTCCTGTTGGCATTAGTGCTATCTCTGTTCAGGGCACTCAATCCAGAAGTAGTTCATGGGGGAACTTGATGGAGCTGGGTTCAGTGGGACCACAGGGAAGCTGCGGGCTGTGTGACTGGTTAAATGCTGGTCTGGTGACTCTGCGGGTTTTGTAGGTCTGGATCCATGCCTTCCTGAATCCAGGTACCAAATCAGCACACCAAAGTGGCACTGGCACGCCCAACCATGTGACTCTGAACTCCCAGACAGCAGCATCTGCACTGAGAATGGGTGAGGGGGGTAGCTGGCCACACTTCTGGTCACCAGAAGAGCATGAGGAAAAATAAGAAATTGCACAGTTTCCATAACCTGTCAATGCCAGACCTCCCTCTGCTGCCAAAGCTACTCACAAGATGGTGGAGCGGCATCTGGACAGTTGTTCACCAGTCAGTGTCCCTCTCTTGTTGTCGATGCTCGGCCGCTCCTCCCAGCAAGCACTCCATCCACTTGTCTAACCTTTCTTCTGAAGTTCAGCGTGCGAGAATTTTCATCTGTGTCTGTTTCATTTGATCTCTCGTTTCTTTGTAGTAGAAGGTCTGTGTAGTGTCTCTGCCTAGTCTGCCATCTTGCATTGTCTCTCTTCTGCATCATTCAATATTTTGCCCCTAGAATCCTTCAGTAATTCAACTCAAGGTGTGAAGTTTTTCTTCTCTTCATTCAGTTTGAGAAATGCTTAGAGTGTTTTTCCCTTTTGGGGAAAACTTTGTCTTCTCTACTTGCCCTTTGCAATTTTCTGTTCAGTTTTTTTTATCCCTCATTTCTTCCAGTCACTTTAGATTCTTTAAATTCAAGAGCAAGTATCAGAGTCTCTTCTGACATTCCTTTGTTGTTGTTTTTAAACTTTCCTGTCTTTTTAATGACCTTTTGCTTTCTTCATGGATGATGTTCTTGATGTCATCCCATGACTCATTTGGCCTTAAGTCATTAATGTTTAATGCACCAAATCTGTTCTTGAGATGGACTCTAAATTCAGGCAGGATATGCTTAAGGTCATATTTTGGGTCTCATGGACTTGTTTTAACTGTCTTCAGTTTGAGCATGCATATGAGCAATTAATAGTCCGTCCCACAGTCTTCCCCTGGCCTTGTTTTGACTGGTACGATTGAGTTTTTCCACCATCTTCAGTTCTTTCAACTTGAGAAATCTTCCCTATTGATTTTCCAACTCCATGTCTTCACACATTTCATTATAATACCTTATTTTGTCTTCTCTGTTGCCTTTTGAAATTTTCTGTTCAGCTCTTTTGCTTCCTCATTTCTTCCAGTTGCTTTAACTTCTCTGTGTTCAAGAGCAAGTTTCAGAGTCTCTTCTGACATCCACTTTTGCCTTTTCTTTCTTTCTTGTCTTTTTAATGAACTTCTGCTTTCCTCATGGATGATGTTCTTGATGTCATCCCACAACTCTTCTGGTATTTGATCATTTG